ATTTCTCTCTTAAACACTCTAGTCCTATAGAGTAAGGGTTGTATAGTTTTACATGTGATCTCTTTTAAGAAAAAAATAGGAATCAAAATGATTATGTATACTTGAAGTAATAATGATCACACATATTCAATGTTACTTAAAGTAGTTGTTATCTTTACCACCAAAGTAAATTTCTTTCATTTAATGCCTCTTAAAATTAGATATCGATAATGAAGTCCTATGAAATAGTTTCTTGTTTCAACTTTTCTTAAATATTCACACGGATCAAGGTGGGGAGCAAGTGTTGTATGGATATAACTATTTAGAAAAAACAAGAAGTTTGTTGTATATTGTGGTGAATCCTATAATCCTGGCATTCAGGAGGTAGAGGCAGGAGGGCCAAACGTTCAAGGTCAAACTGAACTACATAGTTCACATATTAGCATCAAGCAAGCAAACTATTTCAAATACAGTACCTATGTTTAAGGGCCAGTGAATTTAAGTATTAGCATTAACATAGAGGAGAGAGGATAAACACTGACAGATACAGCTACTGATAGGAATGATGAAGCTGGATTACCATTTTCCACTCAATAATTACTTAAGGAGATCCTGTTATTCTCACAGTATTCTCTTAAGAAGAGAATAAGCTTATAGAAAACTCACATGAGTGAGAAAAAGAAAACCAAATCAAAACATGAAATGAGATGTTCCAAAGACAGAAGCTGACCAGGTGGAAAATACGTGACACAGAAAGTAGTATCTTGAGAGCTAGGAAGGAGACGGTAGGCCATGGAGGTAGTGAATCAAGTGTGGGAGTGGGAATGTTTGCATGTGTCTGGGGATAGTGATTTAGATGGTCTGGCTCTTTAAGATTTTAGTTTAAGAAAATGGAGTTGGAAAATCCTATGGATGCCTATGAACTTGAGAATAAGAGGTCAGGCTTCATATATTAGGTTTATGTTTCATAAACGTGACTACAATTTAGAATTCCATGGGAAACATTAGGAATACTGATGCCAAGCTGGGTACCAGTGGCTCAGGCCTGTAAACCTAGCTACTCAGAAGGCTGAGATCTGAGGTTGGAGGTTTGATGCCAGCCTGGGATGGACAGTCTATGTCCATCTCCCACTAACCAGCAAAAAGCCAGAAGTAGAAGTGTGGCTCAAGTGTGGCTGGCAAAGTGCCAGCCTTGAATGAGAAAGCCACATGAGAGCACGAAATTCTGAGTTCAAGCCCCACGACTGGCACAAAATAAGAAGGAAAGAAGGAAGGAAGGAAGGAAGGAAGGAAGGAAGGAAGGAAGGAAGGAAGGAAGGAAGGTAGGCAGGCAGGCAGGCAGGCAGGCAGGCTGATGCTTCAATCTTATACCCAGAGATTCTGATTTAACTCTCCTGGCAATCAAAGTTTTATAAGTTTTTAAGTGATTCTAATAGGTGGTCAGGTTGAGACCTCTGTTTGACCAATTTGGTTTCAGCATCAATTGAATATTAGAATCCACAGGGGAAATGTTTGAGACAAAGCCAAAAACAACACAGAAAATAGTTTCAAACCAAATGGACTTGGTTAAGAGAATTGATTTAAAAATGTAAAAGTGCTAGTCATACAGCAACAAAAACACAGTTCAGTTCACAAATGGAGAAATTATTACAGTACCCATTTCTTTGGAAAGGGTTTACAAATAGCATCATTCATCATTACAGAGATGCACATCAAGCCATGGAGAGATAACACTTGATACACATGAATGTGGCTTTGAGAAAAGAGAGACAATAAGAAGTGTTGGTAAGAAAGTAGAGAAAATGGAACCTGTGTATAGGGTTGGTGGGAATGTGACATGGAAATGGAACAGTTGTTAGGGCAAACATTCCTGCAAGTCCTCCAAAAACTGAACACAAAATTATCATATGACTCAGCAATTCCACTACTGGTGTATATCTAAGAGACAACACACACACACACACACACACACACACACACATACACACACACACACACTATAAACACAAATGTTCAGTGTGGCCTTATTTGAAGTAAGGAGGTTAGGTCTGGCATGTGCCATATTGCCCACATGGTCTAGCATCTTGTCTTCATGCTGGGGGAAGAAAACCCCCTGCCCATCACCTGCCTCCCAGGTGATGGGCATGTCCGGACCCCTGGAGGCAGGGGCAGACACTTGGCTGATAGGTTACTGAATCTGTCAGTCTAGTGCCTGGGACTGGGAATTTCCTGAGGATCAGGCCCCTGCGTTGACCTATTTAGGCCTGGACCAGTCTAGCCAAGAGGTAATGCCATGCGTGTCTCTGAGATCGTGTCCTGTGTCCTGTCTCCTGGCTCATCTCCAGTCATCATGGTGTCCCAATAAAGCTCTCGTTGAGCGGAATTGGCTTATTGGTATTTTTTGTTATTTCCTTCCTCTTTAGTATGTTTCCTAGCTGTGTTATATGTATTTGCATGCTGCAGGCCTTTGTAACATGGGAGACCTGCAGCCTGTTAACTGTATAATAAAGACTTGAATATTCTATATTTTAAAATGTTACAACATATTAACAATAACCTAAAAGTGATTAATGGAAATCCAAAATGTGGTATATTCAGATAGTGGAATTTTGTTTGGCCATAAGAAGCAATAGAGTTCTGACACATATTATACATATTACACACATGAATATTATACATATTACACACATGAATATTATACATATTACACACCTTGAAAACATTATGCTAAGTGAAAGAAACTAGGTATAAAAAGCTTTGTATTGTATGATTCTATTGATATCAATTGTCTTCAGTAGGAAAACACACAGATATAGAATAGCCCAACTGAGAAGAATGCACAGAAAGGAGATTACTTGCTTCCCAAAGTTAAAAAAGAGAGGAATAGAGATGACTTAATGAATTGGAAATTCCCTTGTGGGGAAATGAAAATGTCTTGGAATCACATTGCGGTGATCCACCCACAATTTTGTGAATAGACTATTTAAAAAATAACAACCATTGAACTGAACACTCATTTACAGCACATCACCACCACCATCCTTACTTGTACTAATTAAATCAGAATTTATGGGAATGGGAGAATATGGACATGTTTTCTCTCTAAAATTTCTAATGTTTATATATATATGTGTGTGTGTATATATATATACATATATATATATATAAACTACTATTGTACATCATGACACAAACCTAGAATTTGAGTTTTATGTCTTGTACTCAAGCAAAATAAAACTTCAGAGTACATGAATTTAAACTCAGGTTAAATGGGGGTAGGGGAGAGAATGGCAAGAGGTGGCACTGTTCAAAATGCATTAAACATATAAATTAGCATGCTGAATAGAAACCCCTTTGTATGACTATTTAAAATAATTATAAATGAATTTAAAGCAAATAAACCTAGGTTAAATTATAAATTTCATTTTAACAGATTCTGATTCTATTTGACCTTTCAAGTATGAATGTGGGTGTTACTTAAAGTAATCTTTTTTTGAAAAAGACAAAAAGATGATTACTAGCAATCTCCCAAAACAATAGCAAGAATGTTTTTGTTTGTATTGAAATTTAAATTGAAAACAAAAATGCTATTAGTTTACTTCTGAAAAGTTGAGGTCAAAACCCCTGTGAGTCCTTTGGTTGCAAAGTTGACTCTCACTGATTCTTCTAAGTGTTTCTTAGGTGGTGTGGGTGACTTGTGTCTTTAGTTCTGTTTTTGCTCATTATTTCCTTAGTGACTTTAGACAAACTGTTTGATGTTTAGGCCTCTGAAGTCATTTTTTAAAAGAAGGAATATGTTGTCATGTGGTAGCAATGGGGATAGACAGAGAAACAATGTCAATATGTTCTTTATAGAATTGATAACATAGCTGCACTTCCTTTGCTTTAAAAGGAGACACTGACGTGTTGCTCCTTTATCTGGATAGCATGAAGGTAGAAGGAGATCTAGATACAATAGCTCTTGTTGAATGCTTTATCCTCTGAGACTTAAGGGAACATCTATACAAAACTCTTGGGGATGCTGCTCTCTGAATTTGTTATGGAAAAATAAATAAAATAATAATAAGTAACTTCCTGGATTACATCCTCGCTTACCTTTTTATCCCACTCTTGGAATGTCCAATGATCAAAGTCAGAAAGTTCCAAAACTTTTAAATGCATTCATAAAATCTAGTCTTACAAGTTAAAAACAAAAATTTTTGTACATTAGTGTCAGACTTCCAAGGATATCACTTAATCAGGAATTCAGCCCAGTGTGTGATGAACATCTTAGGAATCTCAATACAGATTCAAAATCTCCCTGTGTATGGCTGTGGTGCTCATTGTAAGAAAAGAAAAGAAAAAAGCAGAAAGGTCAACCCAACAGATCAACAGGCTTTATTTGGGCTGAAAACCTGGGAAGGGCCACCAAGTCTTCTTCAGCCTGGCTGAAGAGGTGCATCCCCTTTAAAACGAGGGTCTCTGTTATTAGGCAGAAAAAGTGAAGTCAGGTGGAGCAGACGGAAGTGGGGTGAGATGGAGGTGGGGTGGGAGAGCAATCTTATTTTAACTGAGGAGTTTCAAGTTCTCAACAGCTTCTGTGTCCACCAGGGGCATCAGTGCCAGATGTGGCCTTGGTCTCAGGCTCTCTTCCAAGACCTCTTGGTGCCTTTGTTTAGGGGCAAGGAGAGGGGAAATGGTTCAGTGGTGTTGGCAGCCAGGACAGTTCTAAGATACAGCTGTCAGGGGGAAAGGTGAGTGCTTTCAATTCATTTTTCATCACTTACTGCCAACAGAAGGCCTCATTTTACCTTCCAGGTAGAACAGGCTCCTTGGGCCATTTAAAGGAGGATGAATACATTACCAAAATGTGAACTTTTAAAACTGGGTACAACATATCACTCCAAGAGATAGTGTAACTTTATCTGCCAAGAGAAAGTCTTTGCTGGGAGATCTATTTCTTTGATTAATTAATCCATTTAATTTCAAGGAAAGAACATTTTTATATTCTGGTTCTAAATACATGATTTTTTTTCCTCTAGAAAATAAGATTTTGGTGAAGCAGTCACCCTTGCTTGTGGTAGATGACAATGAGGTCAACCTGAGCTGCAAGTATACCTACAATCTCTTCTCAAAGGAGTTCCGGGCATCTCTGTATAAAGGGCTGGACAACGCTGTGGAAGTCTGTGTTGTGAATGGCAATTTTTCCCATCAGCTTCAGTTTCACTCAAATACTGGGTTCAACTGTGATGGGAATTTAAGCAATGAAACAGTGACTTTCTACCTCCGGAATTTATATGTTAACCAAACAGATATTTACTTCTGCAAGATTGAGGTCATGTATCCTCCTCCTTACCTCGACAATGAGAGGAGCAATGGGACCATTATCCATATTAAAGGTAATATGTGAACGTAATATGTAAAGGTAATATGTGAAGCCGACCCTTGTACCACCCTGAAGTCCTACCCCTGGACCACCCTGGAGTCCTGCAAACTAGGTGATGATGGTAGAAATGAGGTAGAATAGTCCCAAGTGGGATCAATGCTAATAAAGATCAATCATGTTCTTTTTTTTTGTAATTTTTTTTTTTACTTTAGAAAAGATTGAATTTGGGCTGGGAAGGTGGCTCAGTGGTAGAGCGCTTGCCTTGTATGCCTGAGGCCCTGGGTTCGATTCCTGCGCTGTGGCTCCAAGTGGTAGAGCGCTAGCCTTGAGCTGAAGAGCTGAGGAACAGCGCCCAGGCCCAGAGTTCAGGCCCCACCACTGACCAAAAAAAAGAAAAGATTGAATTTTTTTTCCATACCTTTACTTTCCTTTGTTGACATTGATTGGTAGATGGGAGATGACATTATGGTCAATAGGAAAGATCCCATAAAATATTCTAAATTTGAGAGGGTCATGGGGGGGCGGGTAAAGTACAATATAAGCCTAGGTGTCTTTGAGGAAGCAGCTGAGTGGCATGGGTCAGGACTCAGGAAGAATGGGTTCTGTTTCAAAGGAACTGTCTTTTTGTGCTGCATGGTCTTTCTCTGTTCAGTGCTTTTCCATTTCTCCAAACACACAAAGAATGATGGACTAGGACAGGAGATACGATGTAAAATTTGATAACAATCAACTTTGTTGGACAATGCTTCGTGTCATCAAGTGCAGTATTATTAGACAGTACTAATTAATCAGAGGAAATAAAGTCCACTGAGCTTATATTGAGGTTAAATTCTCTGAAAACATTGGGGAGAAAAATTATAAGATTCTCAAGCTCAGAAAAATACAATTTATTTATCAATACAGAAACATAAAAGAGGTCTTCAGAGAGATACTTAGTTACACTTTGTGGCTACACAATATCTTTCCTTTTCTATAGAATGTTAAGCAAGAAGGTATATGCTCAGTTTTATATTTAATACTGGCATAATTTCTATAAATGCTTGTTCTCCTATCCCGAAACAGAGATCTACTGGAGAAAAATCAAATACTGAATAAGGAATGAACCATTCATGGAATATGTCAGAATAATTTTGTGTTTTGGCAAAATGGAGCCAATTAATGTGAGAATGTTACTGAAACTCATTTAAATTTCTAATATCCATAATGCCCAAGCACAGACAGACACAGTGAGTCATGTCTATAATTCCAGCTACTCAGTCAGCAGAGATTAAGAGGACTGAAGCTTAAGGTAAACCAGGCACAAAGTTAGTGAGACCCATCCCCATATCAACAAACAAGCTAAGCATGATGGTACATGTCTGTAATACCAGCTACACGGAGGCATAGGTAGGAAAATTTCAGCCCAAGGCTAGGAAAAAAAAGTGTGAGACCATATCTAAAAAAATCACTAAAGCAAAAAAGATTGAGTGTGATTCAAAAGGTAAAGATTTTCCTAGAGAATATAAGGTCCTCAGTTCAATTCCTAGTACTGACAAAACAAACAAAAAGAAGTCTATACCTAATAATCTTGATTTAAAAAGAACATTTTAAAAGCTAAGAATTTTGCCCATATAAATGCTATAATCCTTTGTACAACTACTTATATCCTAATATATATAATATAACCATAATATATACTAATATATATAATATACTTATGTATATATAGGCACATATAAACAAACTTCCTCCAATAATTTAATGTGTAACCAGGTTTAAAAATGCTCAGAATAGCCTGGTGCCGGTGGCTCATGCCTGTAATCCTAGCTACTTTGGAGGCTGAGAGCTGAAGATCTCAGATCTCAAAGCCAGCCTGGATATTGATAAATCTGTGCTATTATTACCTCCAGTTAACTACCCAAAAAAGCCAGAAGAGGAGCTGTTGCTCAAGCGGTAGAGTATTAGTCTTGATCAACAAAGCTCAGATAGTGCTCAGGCCCTGAATTCAAGTCCCAGAACTGGCACATCCCCACAAAAATGACATGTATGCTCTGATTACTAGTTCACTACTCTGACTGCCATACTATGCTGCTTTTCCTAAGGCTTGAAAACATGTGTATCATTTTACTTACTTCAAAAAGACAGTGTAGGTCTAGATGATTAGGCAGCTAATGGGAGAGATAGAATGAGGTTGGGTTGAAGTCATTAGAACCAGTCATTTTGAATCATACAGTGAGTGGACTCCACAAACTAAATCTAACTTTTCTTGAAAACTGAGCTAGTCCATTTAGGAGTAGTTACTAATAGTTTCATGTCTTCCATGTTCTTCTCTGGGGTGATGTGAACTTAACTGTCATTTCCATGGTGTTAGATCCATTCTGTTCTGTTTTCCAGAGAAACATCATTGTCCTGATCTCCAGCCTTCTGAGCCTAAACCCTTTTGGGTATTGGTGGTGGTTGATGGAATCCTGGCTTTCTACAGCTTTCTAGTAACTGTGGCCCTTTGTGTTTTCTGGGTAAGAGAAGCAACACAGCTTTTATGCAATTTTTCCACTGCACATACAATCTGAACATATCAAGAAACGATTCTATTTATTATAGCTTTGATGGGTGTGAGAGACAGCCCTGGATTCAGTCATGCTTTTGGATTATCTGGCCTTAGCTCCTGTTCCTTCTCCTTCTCCTCCTCCTCCTCCTCCTTCCTCCTCCTGTTCATCATTATCTTTGTCTTCTTTTTAATATATATATATATTTATTGTAAAGATACTGTACAGAGGGGTTACAGTTACATGAGTAAGATAATGAGTACAATTCCTCTTGAGCATTGTTACCTCCTCCTTTGTTTTTCCCCTATCATCCCTCCCCCAACCCCATGCTTGAAGTTGTAAAGTTTGTTTTTAACATAGTGTCTTGTACATCTCATTGTTACAATGGGTCAACCTGTTCTTCATCTCGTTTTCCTTTTTGCCCTGCCTCCACCTCTACCACCTCCTCCTTTTCCTCCTCTTCCTCCTCATTATACAAGAGCCTTTCAGTCTTAGATCATCTTAGTCCTTTTGACCTCTTACTAACATTTGCTTCTTCATTATTCCCTACAAGTTACCTGTAGTTCAGAAGACCCTTGGGGGAAAGCAGGGAACAAAAAGACTTCTTGTCCCTGGGAATTCTATTTGTTTTTTACATTACAATTTACTCCAGATGTTTGGTGAATGATTCAATGGTAAAAACAACAACTTTTATGCCTTTATACATTTACGACCTTCAGCATAGATTTATAATGAATATTTTATACATCTGTCCTTTAATATAGAAAACAGAAGAGTTACAGAATGAGAGTAATAATGCTACTTTAAACCTTTAGCTAGGTGCTTACCTTTCTCAATGCTATTTATTCTGTATGGTGCTTTCAGTTTCCATCTTGTGTGTTTCCCTGAAAAACGAAATGAGAAGCATTTCTTGGAAGGACTGTCCTCCAAACTCTCTGAGACTTTGCATACCATAAGTTTTCCTTTGCTTTTAAAGGGTACTTTTGCTATTTAAAATTGCTGGTTTATAGGATTATTTTTCTTTCAACAATTTGAAAGTAGTGTTTTTGTTAGTACAAAAAGTCAAATTTTTATACTGGTAGCATCTTGGGAATTTTCCCAATTTGCCCTCTACAATTTGCCCAATTTTTATGGGGAGAGCCAAATTCTGCCTCCGATGTTAGTTGAAAACTTTCATCTTTCTGGATCTTGGGTGGGTCTTCATTCTAGGTATCTTCCAGATTTGTGGTCTTCATTCTAGGTATCTTCCAGATTTTAGCCTTCTTAGTTGGTATTTTTTCCCCTTCTAATCCCTGGCCATTGACTTCTTATGCCTGTTTCTAGTCCTCACATTGAGAATCTCAACTTCTTAATCTAATGACCAGATGTCGTGGCCCCTTGGGAGCCATATGCTGATCTGGGAAAGGCTGGCCTAAATCTAAGAAATTTACTAGCTTTGTGAGAAGTAGTTTGGGAACTGCTTTAACTTTCAGTGGCCAAATGAGTTCTTTCCATCATTTAGAAATTATGGTAAATATGTGTTCAAATATTAGTTTTTAAAATGAGGAGCTAATTTCCTGAGTAATTACAGTCCCACCAAATAAAACAAACACAGCTTCTCACTTTTAATGAATTTAAGCAATTAACTTTCAAATCAACATACATCATAGATGTTATGAGTTTTCTTTGGCAGTCCTATTAATTGCTAATCATGTTCGTCTTGTTTATCTCAAAACAAACTTACTTTGGTTTTATTCTATCTCCCAGACTCCTGTTGAGTTAGGCAGTATCAGTGACATGTCCTCTGTAAACTCGTGTAGTCAAACCAGATTATCTAATAAGAATACCCTTTAAGTGCACCTCAAAAATAGGTCTGTGTCTCTTCTAACTAATGGGTACAAATAGCAATATGTCTACACTTCGCAGTATGATGTATAATTTTTATCTTGGGCCATCATTTCCTGCTGCTGTTATTTAAACAACAAGCACCTTGATGAGCTCGGCATCTAGGCCATGAGGGATCTCTAGGGTTTAGCCACTTCCTGGGAAATTTACTGGGCTCCTATTTTTGTCTAGTCTATAGCTTGCTTGGTGAAAGTTGCTATTTTCTGTTACTTCCTGAGGGCCCATGATACGCTACTGTAGGCTGTTCTAGGCTGAGTGGGTTTCTGGGAACAGCTGCAGATTCTATCTCAGTTCTTGACCTGAGGTTGACATTTGAGTAAATAAAAACCTCTTGGTCAGGCTATCATGGACAAGCACCTGCTATTCTCACTCACTGTTCACTTAGCTTAGTAATAATCCATTCCATGTAGCCTTTTAAAATCATGATCTTCAAAGGAACTTTTAAAATCATGCTCTTCTCTGCTACATGGGAAATGCAATGTGGGAAATGTGGACAGTGTATGGTCAGGTACCATTGCCTTTAAATCCAGTACATTCTTGAAGACCATTTCCTTTCTGCTTTTTTTGAGGGGTGGGAAAAGGGTTGGGGTTTGAATTCAGGGCCCCACATTTGCTAGGCTGGCACTCTCTACTACTTGAGCCATAATCTCCAGCCTTGGTTTTAGCTGGTTATTTTGGAGATGGAGTCTCACAGACTTTTCTGCTGTTGCTGGCTTCAAACCATGATCCTCCAGATCTCAGCATCTTAGGTAGCTAGGATGACTGATGTGAGCCATGGGTGCCAGACTTATTGTTGTTGTTGTTTTAAATGGATTGACTTGTGTATGTTCTGTGTGTTCCTGTTAACTCCCAGGAAACAAGCAAATAAGGCAGAGTAGTAGTAAGGGCAAAGGAGGAGTGTCCCTGAGAGGGAGGGCAGAGGGCACTGACACACAGGCCCATAGTGGGGTACTCTGGGCACAGGTATTTGCATATGTTGGATACACAGAGCCACTGTGAGTTGTGGGTACTATTCCCAGTCATGTTATTTCTATCCTAATGTTATTTTCATCCTAACGTTGCATTTAGACTGGATAGTAGTAATCAAATTTACTTAATGATAATACTGTGAGGATAAGATGTAAGCTGATTGCAGATTTTCATCATCTTTGTGTGTAACATGGGGTACCTCAGCGAAAAGACATCTTTATTACTGGGACCTCCTTGTGAACTATAATTTCATCCTTGTCCAGAGACCAGAATTGTTAGTTGGGGATTTGGCAAAGGGCTTCTCTAGGGTTAGAGTAAGTGCTAAAAATGATTCCTGGGCTATCAGTAGCAGCATTTACACCCTATTTGGGGCAAGCATTTCATTGGCTTAACATTGCTCTCACGTAACTTGATGCCCAAGACAGTCCTAGACTTTTATTTATAGAAAGGATGTAGAATCAAGCTATTTGAAGAGCAGTATCACAGGCTTGGCTTTCACATGTTCTTCCATCTGAACAAATTTTCCAATTATATTTGCTATCTTTTCTTCTTTGGACCAGGTAGAAAGGCTAGCTAGCATCTCATGGACCAAAGCTGAATTTATACCCTTTTCTTTCAAATTTACTTCTCCTATTATTGTGCATTATACCTTCATGTGGAACACTTTGTCTTCTAGTTACCTAGGCTCAAACTATCAAACATCTTTTAGTGTAAGAAGGAACCAGGTAGCCTAGCAATATGTGTTCCAATTTGGTGACATATTTTATATTCATTGTTTTCCTGTCATCCCATTATTTTTTATGGCCATATTATTTAGATGAGGATTTTCTAATCTTGATACCATTGATGATTTGGGTTAGGTAATTTGTTGTTGTAGGACTTGCCCTGTGCATAGTAGTTTGCTTAATAGCATTTCTGGCTACTACTCTGTACATGCTAGTGACAACCCTTCCTGTTCTGACACTTAGAAATGTCTTTGCAATGCTTGATAAGAAATGTACTCGTTATCTTGCCCATGTGATTGTAACTGCTCTGTACGGTATTCTCACAATAAAAAAATAAAAAAATAAAAAAAAGAAATGTCTTTGGACCTTGCCAACTGTCCTTTGGGACAGTTAAGGCTTAGGAGGTCTGACTTGGGTAACTATATCTATGGGGTGTCATTTTTTTGATATGAGGAACACAAGGAAGAAATCAATTTTAGGAGAAGATCTTGACATTTGTTTTGGACCTGTTAGATATAGCATACTTTTGAAATCTAGTCCAGACATAAACATTCAGATGAGTAGGTGGTAATTGAACCTGAGAATGTGAATGAGGATTGTCTAGGGAGAGAGGACAAAATAACTAGATGAGGAGAAAATCTAATATTGAATGGCTAGAGAAGGATGAGCCCACAAGAGCCAGAAAAGGAGACACAGAGGTAGGATGAAACTGGGATGTCACAGAAGGCAAAGAAGAGTATTAAAAATAATAATAAAAGGAACAAGCCTGGCACTGGTGGCTCACTCCTGCAATCCTAGCTACTCAAGAGGCTGAGATCTGAGGATTGAAGTTCAAAGCCAGCCCAGGCAAGAAAGTCTGTGAGACTCTTATCTCCTATTAACCACCTGAAAACTGGAAGTGGAACTGTGGCTCAACTGTTATAGCACTCACCTTGAGCTGAAGAGCTGAGGGACAGTGACCAGGCCCAGAGTTCAAGCCCCATTACTGACCAAAAAAAAAAAAAAAAAGGAGCAAGTAATCAGTAACAGCTTTCCTTGGCATCGTAACTGGGATTGGTTCTTCAAGCACCAAAAAATTGAGAGACACTCAAATATCTTCTATAAAATGCATAAACTTTATATAATCTCTAGATTACTTATCCTACTTAATACGCTATGTATAGAGCATATATATACTATATATGTATATACATACTATATATACTATATATGTTGGCAGTTCTATTGTTCAAGGAACAATGACAAGAATATCATTTTGAGTATTTTCTCTGTGTTATTAATTGAGTCTATAGATAAAGAGCCTATGATATGGAGGACTAGCCATGTAGAATGGTGGTGAGAGTTCAAGAAAATATGGCTGAAAACTTGTTAGTAGTTTTCAAATCTTATACTCTTTTGGCAAGGAAGGTGTGAAGGCTCAGATAGGAGTGCATGGAAATGAGGCCAGGGCTAAAGTCATTCATTCTTTTAGTTATTCAGACCTCGATGTCAGTTATGTCCAGTGTGTCTACTCATGCATTAGGCCTCTGTGCCTAGAAATAAACGTTGTTTTCCATGGCAGAGAATTCTGAATCCAGATATTCAGATAAATCTCTACTTTTAGAAATTTTATGGATGTTTTATCACAATACAAATCTTGTCATTACATTGATCCAGAAATGATACTCTTAGCTCCCAGTCATAGCCTCCAGTCAAAAGCTTTGCCACAATTCATGGTGTGCTTAACCCTGGCTCCACATTCATCTTGACTTTTAATTCCTACTATGGATCGAAATTTAGTTTGAAATAATGGTGGATACATTATTGTCTCTATAGAACTCTGTACACACAAGGAAATAGATGTAGCTAGTTGTCTAGTACTGTAATTTGATTTGATTTGATTTAATTTGACTCCACTGTTGTGAAGTTATGATTATTCCAGACTCTGGAGGAGTTGAGGGTTTTTTTCTAATTAATTGTAAGAAAAATGTTATATAAATGACTAATGTAAGGAAACTGTAATGTGAACACTTAACCAATTTTGAACAGCAAGGGTTTTCAAATAGTATTTAAATACCAATAGATACACTTTTGCAATTCAGGTCAAATGATGCACGGAGATACATTTTGTTTTCTAAAATATTTCTTTTGGTTTAGATTTCACCAGTTAATGTAGAAGAGCTAATAGGTTTGAATAGTCTTTATCCAAGTGCATAGTACTTCAGAAATGCTAGTCATCTGGGTCATCAGGAAGTTGATGTCCTGAATAGATGTGCCCAAGTCTTAGAACTTCTCCTTAGAACATCTTCTTAATGTCCTTCCATGTTGACCTTTCTCTTTTCTGCAGATGAATAGTAAAACCAAAAGGCTCCTTCAGAGTGACTACATGAACATGACTCCCCGAAGGCCTGGGCCCACCCGCAGGCACTACCAGCCCTACGCTCCAACAAGAGACTTTGCAGCATACCGCCCCTGACAGGGCTGCCTATCCAGAAGCCAGTTGGCTGGCGCCCCTCCAACTACTCAACACCACTGCTCTGGATAGGAAAGCATCACCTCATTTTCAGCCAGCCACCTTGTTAGGCCACCAAGCCAATTGTTCTTGAACATCTGGGCTATATTTTAAGATCATCTTGACACTGCAATGAAGTTAAGTTCCTGTGACAGGCTAAGTCTTGCTTTGTTAAGACCCCAATTCAAGCTTATCATATATTTATTGACTTGATCAAGAACTTAGAGAAGTCAACAAAAAGTGAGTGGATTCTCTCAGCTTTGAATTCTGCTCCTAGACTGCTGGGTGAGACAAGTTCCTTCCACATTTGTTTCCCATCTCAGTCCAGCAAGGTATGATATTCAAAGATATTTTAGATGGAGAAGAAAGCTTAGAAAATAATTTCCTTTGGTTAAATAGATATTTAGGGTAGGTTAAACTGAGGGAGAAGGTAGTGTCACTAAATAGTTTTAAACTGTTAAAACACTTTCTTCCTTATGAAATGAGCCACTTGGTTGTTATATAATGCTATTTTCCTGTTAAAATCATGTGGACTTTAATGAATTCTGACCATGTCAGTTTAAGTCACAGAATTCCCTCAAAACATAGGTAGACTTGCTTTCTTCATTCCCAGTGATGAGAATTTTAATGTTCACAGTATGACTTCAAAAGAATGGAAGAATCCTCTCACACAAAGAAGAATGTGTCCAAAAATAAGGTCACATTATGTCAAAATGATTTGAATACTATGATGGATTATTTGTTCAGCAGCACATGCTAGCCAAGCTGCTGCGTTTCAACTTTGTACGGTTGTTCTCTTTGTGTGGAAATCGGAAGTGAGATACATAGAACACCCATAAGGGAAGAGATGATATTGTGAAAGGGGGAGGTTAGTGTCTATTAAGATACAAGCGATGAGTTCCAAGAAATTTCTTCTGAAAAAGGGATTGAAGCAATTCTTGCCATGTGCTAATGTCTGCATTGAGTGGACACTTTTCCAGAAGGCACCAAATAGAAGAATCCTTGGTGTAAGAGTTCCTTTATAGAAACTTTCAGCACTCCAGAATTCTGTGGGTTCAGTTACCCAGGTACCCAGGAGAAACATTGGCATGGAGTATGACTCTTGAAACAATGTCAAAATGCTCTAAAAAGATCTGATCTTGGAATGACTATGGATATTTTTCTGCTTCCAGTTTGGGTCAACTGAAATATACCTAAGGACCCTGAAGACTAGCTGTACTGCCTCCATTATCATTTGTTCAGTACTTTGGTTTATTCATGTACTATAGGAGCCTATGTTTTAGAGGTAGAAGTGTTTCAAATCTCATCACTATTTGAATGGCCTCAGGCAAGTCACTGGTCACCTAAGACTCTTCAATTGTAAAATGGACATAATGATCACAAATATCTATCTGTCCTTGTATTATAATCTCCAAGAGGGCATGGCTACTGTCATGACAGTCAAGGCATACTGTCAAGATACCATCCTAGTCTTTATTCTTGAGTATAATATTTTTACTTATTATCATATAGGTAAATTACATGTAGAAATTAAATGGGACAATGAGAACATCAAAATCCCCAATTTTTCTATTTCTTGAACTATTGTATCTTGTAATGAAATGTAAGGCATTTTCCCCACTTTGTATATAAAGAAGTCTTAATTATGTTTTAATGTGGGAAGGAGAGGAGTCTTAGGAATTTTATGCTTCTGACAGGAAATATTGTACTCTGATTTTTAAAAATCTCTTCTGTTTTTTGTATTTAATTAATCCAGAGAAGATCAAGTTCACCAGTAGTTGTTTGATGGACTGCTATTTTACATGTGCACTTGTGTCTAAGGCCAACCTCTTGGCACACAGAGTTCTTCAATCCAAGTTATCTGATTATATATTTAAAATTGATAGAGCTAGAGAATTTGTAGAAATGGCAGTAGCAAAAAAAATAAACACTTTTTTTGTGAACATGGAAAGATTTGATCTTTGGCAATAAGTGGTTTTGTCTTCTAACTGGAAATGTAGGTTTACTAAAGATGAATCACACTTGAGATTTTTCTTACTCATGCTGAACATAACCAAACCAAAGTCATGTTATGTAGGGAAGTCCATTTTCACTATTAGTGTGAACCTAGAAAAAGTTGAAAAACAGTGGTTGGAGTAATGCTTTTTGCAGTTTCAGATATGATAATTGTGAAAAAACAGCATCATTTGCTATGATTACTGTAAGAGTTTATAATTCATGATATTTCTGTATTTTTTATTTGGGAGCTGAGTATGTAAATTTGGAGGCTGAGCATGTAAACCTATAAAGACAAAGTATCCATTACATCTTTTGCACCTAGCGCTAAAATTACCACACTATCATATACTTGTTTTTAATTTTGTGTTTAAATATTGTCTTCAGGGCATGTATCCTTTCTGGTTTACCAATACCTGCATTTAGGCCAGACTCTCATATGTTAATTTCACTTCAAGCAAGGTATACAGTTGGTTTATTTGCTTAGTTTCAGTCACAGTTTCTCATCAGGCTAATAGTTTACCTCACTGAAGGCTCAGGCTGGACTTACATGTACATTCTGTGTGATGTAAATGCTCTGTGAGAAAACTCACAGTTCAGTCTTGAATCAGTCAGACACCTGTCAGCATGGACATTTTAATGGCTTTTTTGATTATTAAATGATGTCATTCCTCATCCCAGCCTTTTTGCATTGTCAGATGGAAATTTCAGCAGCCTTGGGGACTGATCCCAAGGTACTAAATTCAACTCCATGCTGGAAGTTAGAGATGATATCAGTAATGGATGTAGAACCAAGATAGCACTTCCCCAGGACTGCTATTAACCCACATCAATGAGAGTAGCATAGCTTCCTGCAAGGTCTAGACTCAGTGAATCTTGTACCTGCAAGGTCATTTGAGGCTCGATGAATCTCTCTCTGCCTCTCTGTCTCTGTCTCTCTTCTGCCCCTCCCCATGTTTATGCATATTTTTTTTTGACATATTCTTCTTCAAATATCCCAGGCATGTTCCCACCTTAAGGCCTTCACATATAGATAGTACTTTTCTAGAAGGTTCTTCCCTAAATATCTACCTGGCTGATATCTTCTGCTTACTTTCTTGCTTATTTTTTCTCTATAATATTTTATCATCTTTACACTAGTCATGTTATTGATTTGCTTATTGCTTCCCTCCCCCAAACTAGACTGTAAGCTCCATAAGGGAGAGGATTCCATCTGTTTTGCTTATTGCCCAGTATGCAATAAATATTTGGTGGCTGACAAAATGAATTTCATATGGGTTTATGAATTGATGGTCCAACAAAATGGTCTAATCACACTCTGAGAAGGAGCAAACTAATTCATATGATTAAAGTCATATTTATAAGAGAAATACATAAAGCACATGTAAAGCATCTGGTGAAAGAGAATCTTGTAGCTATGTTACCTACATTTTAGAATTTTTTTTGCAGTCTGGAAAACTATGTTAAAGAAGTCAAAACTAAGAGCAAGTTTATTTTCCATGGAAGTCATGTTTCCTCTTATTGGAGTATCGACCATGCTTTAACTATATGATTAGACTAATCCTCTGAAAATGTTGTTTTTGTTGTTAAAACTGCTTTCTCCTACTGAAGCTCTGCTCTTTCCTATGAAATGATCTTACACCAACAAATTCTATAAATTTCTGGCTCTGATTCAAGAAGAGCTCACAAATGGAAATTTGAGGACAGAAAATGTAAGCATCTTCACCTGTCATGCTCATGTCATAACTGAGCTCTTAGATAACTCTCAACAGTTTCAAAGTAAAAGCATGAATAACAAACCAATAAAACTTGCAGCACTTGGAGAAAGAATTAGATTCAGATGCAGAGAGTAACAGGGGGAATTTTATCTAAGTATATTATATATATGTATGGAAATATTGTGAGATACCCTTTCATGAAATTAATATATGCCAATGAAAAATTTTAAAAATCAACTTTATTCAACACATACGCATTCGAGTACTAACTTGTAGGTAGGGAAGGCCCTTGAACAACAGACAGAACTTTCCTGAATATTCACAGAGCAGTTCCAGTTTCCTTGGTTGCAAATTTTAGTCTAAGAATCAAATAGGTGGACCAGGAGTTGTTAAATAAAGTGTAATAAAGGCAACAACAGCTTGGAAAAGATGTATAGTCACTCATGAATGGTTCATCAGGACTAATGAACTGCAAAAGGATAAGATTGGTTAAAACAATCCTGGCTAGTAAATAGATCTTCATAATAAGCTGTCCTTTTACTGTATTAATAAAAATTTTAAAAGAAACAAAAAATACTCATTTATTCTAGTACCTTGACACTTGAGTTCAAGATGGAAACCGATGTGAACGTCATTTCTTCACCTGACAGACCTTCCACCATGTTCTGGATACAAAAATATATGAGCTATGTAAATGCCCACAATCCTGAGTTCACTCCTTTCCTCCAGTCTGAGAAAAAAAGAATTCACTCCCTTTTAAGCAGCAGATCTGCCTTCTCTTCCCCTCATCTGGAATAGAAATGATGGAAGGGTGAGAAAAATCAGAGGAGAAATGTCTGAATCTGTTGTACCACAATAAGCAGGGGTAACTAGGATGCTCTGGAAGCCACTGGATGTTGCTGGATGTTTTCATAACTAAAGTCTTATTGTTCTACTTAGGCTTTGCCCAAAGCCTTATATTTCAGAAGCATTCCTTGAAGTTTGTCCTCGAAGTTTGGATCTTCAAGAACACATTGGAGGGGCCAGATCTCCCCATTCTCTCTTGTCTAGCCTTCCAGGAATAAGGTGCACTTTTCCCTTTGAAGATTCAGAGGCTGCCAGTGCACAGGACCTCAGGCCAGTGTCCAGAGCAGAATGACTCACTTTCTCAGCATGCCTTTTGTTAAACATCTCAGGGTGTTGACATTGGGCCCAATGCTTGAAAATCACTTGGGATGAAATTCGGATGATCGAAGAATGTATCAGTTTTACTCAGCTGATGTTACTCTTGGAACAACAACCAAGGGCCAAAATGTCTGCTTCAAAGACCATTCTTTTTATTTGGCCATGTAAACTCTGTATAAGGGTCTGGAGTGCCAGATTCTCAAGAGAGGATAAGTCATTATAAAAGGTAATTGATCTCAGGGCAAGAGGATTGGATTTTTACTTGTATTTCATTGGGCAGAGCTATCTCAGTGATAGATTTAAATGTTTCTCTGTCTCCAAAGAAGAAACTATGAGCTGGGTGGAAATGTCAGTTGAGGCCCAAGAGTAGCAAACAGCTTTGTTTTCCTATAGCTGTGGTTTTACATGGTGGTGATGACACACGAAGATGAAAATGTGCAGCATGAACTCCAGTTGTTATCTGTGTGAGCATCTCTGCCAATGCTGAGGGATATGTGTGGGTGTCACCTGCAGAGAGAGAGAGAGAGAGAGAGAGAGAGAGAGGAGAGAGTGCCGCCATTTCAGAAAGAAGAGTCAGTTAATAAACATCATCAGTGACAAGTGATGTTGCTTATTTCATGAACTTCATATCAATTTCCTTTCTCATGTTAATGTCCATATCTGTATTTAATACCTGAACTGAATTTATGAGTATCTGGTGACTAAGGGAAAGGGTGGAAAAAATGGCCTTGAATGAATTTCTCCCGCTTTATACGTGGCATTGTGGGTAAAGAGTCTTAGGAACTACAGAAGATAGATACTTCCACAGAAGATAGAAATATTGTGTATATCTGTATAGTGTGTGCCCTGCTCAAGGCCTCTAATGATGGTGATAAGGGCTGAAATCCACTCAGGATCCTCTTAGGAAGGATGCACCTGCTTCTTAAAGGAGTCTGAAGGTGCCTGTCTCTAATATGTCCTGGGGACTACGGTGGTCCTAACAGAATGTTAACCTTTCTGCTGCTAGGTAACAGAGCTTTGTATCCTCAAACCAGAAAATACCTACCAATGCATATCAATTAAAGCAAAATAAAACAAAATAGGTTCTTAATACCATAAACATTTCTCTCCTGAGTCCCTTCTTTAGATTTTCCTTCCTGTTGTCTCTGCATACTTTCATATATTCTTGACATATATTGGGTGAGTTTAGCAAGGTGAGAACAAACTTCCTGGTTTAGATCTCAAAGGAAAAACAAATAGGTTTTGGTGACCTGTAAAATACTAGGTGTGGGATTAGTTCTGGGGATTAACTTTTCAGTTAATGGAGGAGTCTACACATATTTCCCAGTGCCTAGTACCATGAGTGGACTAGAGTAAGTTACTTCATCTCATTCTTGTTTTTGTTTTTGTTTTTTTTTTGGAGTCCGGTTGTGGGGCTTGAACTCTGGGCCTGGGCGCTGTCCCTCAGCTCTTCAGCTCAAGGCTAGCACTCTACCACTTGAGCCACAACACCACTTCCGGCTT